AATGGTATAGTGCTGATGTTGGTTACTATGAAATGGTATAGTGCTGATGTAGGTTACTATGGAATGGTATAGTGCTGATGTAGGTTACTATGGAATGGTATAGTGCTGATGTAGGTTACTATGAAATGGTATAAAGCTGAAGAAGGTTACTATGAAATGGTATAGTGCTGATGTAGGTACTATGAAATGGTATAATGCTGACATAGGTCACTATGAAATGTATAATGCTGATGTAGGTTACTATGAAATGGTATAAACTGAAGAAGGTTACTATGAAATGGTATAATGCTGACGTAGGTTACTATGGAATGGTAGAGTGCTGATGTAGTTTACTATGAAATGGTATAAAGCTGAAGAAGGTTACTATGAAATGGTATAATGCTGATGTAGGTTACTATGGAATGGTATAGTGCTGAGGTAGGTTACTATGAAATGGTATAACCTGAAGAAGGTTACTATGAAATGGTATAATGCTGACGTAGGTTACTATGGAATGGTGGAGTGCTGATGTAGTTTACTATGAAATGGTATAAAGCTGAAGAAGGTTACTATGAAATGGTATATTGCTGATGTTGGTTACTATGGAATGGTATAGTGCTGATGTTGGTTACTATGAAATGGTATAAAGCTGAAGAAGGTTACTATGAAATGGTATAGTGCTGATGTAGGTTACAATGGAATGGTATAGTGCTGATGTTGGTTACTATGAAATGGTATAGTGCTGATGTTGGTTACAATGAAATGGTATAGTGCTGATGTAGGTTACTATGAAATGGTATAAAGCTGACTTAGGTTACTATGGAATGGTATAGTGCTGATGTGGGTTACTATGAAATGGTATAGTGCTGATGTAGGTTACTATGGAATGGTATAGTGCTGATGTTGGTTACTATGAAATGGTATAATGCTGACGTAGGTTACTATGAAATGGTATAGTGCTGATGTAGGTTACAATGAAATGGTATAGTGCTGATGTAGGTTACTGTGAAATGGTATAAAGCTGAAGAAGGTCGCTTTTGAATGGTATAATGCCAGCTGTGGAATAGTATACTGTAAAATAATTTATTTTACCTTGAATTAATTTTCGCTGAAAAGACTTTTTGGGTGTTGTGTATGGAATTTATTTTCACTAAATTTGTAATGTAAAATTTAGAAAAAAATTTGCTGAATTTTATTTTTACTGAATCATTCCTGCAATGAAAATAGCGAAAATTGATTAATTTACAGTTAACAAACTTGTTCACTGTTCTAGCAAACTTTGATCACACACACACACACACGCACACGCGCACGCGCACAAACACGCGCGCACGCACACACACACACACACACACACACACACACATATGGTTCTGTCTTGTGTAGTCCACCCAGGTGTAATACTTTTATTATCAACTTAATAGTGTATTTGGTCCCAAGAGAGATATTCTGTTGTATTCCCCTGTATGTTGTTTTTTGGCAATTCAAGTAATAAATGTAGGAAACTCCACATTGGTTTTACAGTGCGTCACCTAGGAGATCAGTTTGTTGAACAACAGGACAATTGTTTTTATCTGGTTCCCTTTCATTTTAATTTTTGTAAGTAAGTAAGTAATTCTTTATTGCTATCGTATC